AAGGCGTGGTCTCACCAGTGCCAACTACAGGGATACAATCACTTCCTAGTCCTGCTGCCACACCCTGATACAAGCCAAGATGTTGTTGGTCTTCTTGGCCAATTTTTCATTAATTTACGATATATAGTTTTTCTTCTGAAAAAGAAAAAGAAAATCAAAATATGTTGATAATTTTTATGCCCATGATGTCATATAGTGAAAGCTTTTCATTTGTATCAAGTGATGTTCAGGGGCCATACCCACACAGCAAGACTATGATGAAGTAATCAGTCTCCTAAAAACGTTTTCTTCTCTTCACTACTTATCTCGCACACTTCTTGACTCAGTGTCACAGCTTGTCTCTTTCCTAAATCTGAGATTGAGTGTTCAGGAACTACAAACATGCTCCAAGATTCTAGAAGCATTAAGGATTCTGGCAGATGCCATGTTAGTGGTGATGGCATATGGGTTGTTTCTAACATACATACTACAAGTTCTACACTGTTGAGCTATGTATCTATATATTTACGTTAGCTTAAGATTTTTATTTGAATATGAGCGCAATTCTTTGCTTGTTTATTCTTGATCCATCAACATCTTTTTCAGACATAATTAGCTTCTCTGCTGCACATCCAGTATCTTCCCTAGAGTAATCTTCAGTCTCAGTAAACACAGAAACAGTAGGAAGCAAATTGTACCCTAGGATGCTCAGTCATGTTTTCTACTGAAGTCATTAGTGTCCCTGAGTGATAAGTCGTCAATGGAAGACCCCAGTTGTGAAAAAGCAGAAATCATTAGAAGAACCTATCCTGTTTTCTCTTGGAATAAGAATTCTCTGAGCTTCTTTAAGAATTTAGGGTTGATAAAGAACATGCTATTAACATTTAGGTGAACTTCTGGAGGGCAGAACCATTTTATTGAAATGAAGGGTTAATATTTTCATGAGCCCAATAAATGTGTGAAAGGTACTCAAGAGGGGAAAGAGCTTTCTTTGTGTAACATCATCTTGGTATTGGGATATATGCAATGTCTAATGAGTCAGATAATTAATATACCCTTCCTGTATTGCTTTTATACAAGAACAGGAAACTGAGTAAACCCGAATTTGTGCTGGGTTGGGGAGGACATGAAAGACTCCTCTCTTTCCCTGTCATTAGTAAAGGATGACTACTGGCAAAGGTTCATTTCCATCATTGCTTTTCCACTGTTACCCTCAATTGCTATCCTAATCCTGTAAAAAAACAGGGTAGAGAAGGTATTAAAAAACCCAGTCATGACCATTAAGAAAAACAGTGAATTAAGTAACACCAGTTACAACCTTGTCATTTCTGAGATACAGGAAACTAAAGATTATAATATGGGGGAACAGAGGAAAATGAGGGCTAATGCAAAAGAAACATACCATTGTCTAGAGCAGAAAGAAGACAGAAGGCCACAGAAAGAGGAAAATCAGCAGTTAGATGATGGAATGACGGCAGGAAAAGAAAAGAGGCAACTGATTTTTTTACTATGAGGGTGGTGAGACACTGGAACAGGTTGCCCAGGGAAGTTGTGGATGCCACATCCCTGGAAGTGTTCAAGGCCAGGCTGGATGGGGCCTTGAGCAACCTGCTCTAGTGGGAGGTGTCCCTGCCCATGGCAGGGGGGTTGGAACTCGATGATCTTTGAGGTCCCTTCCAACCCAAACCATTCTATGATTCTATGATTCTATGATTTACTCATCAAAGATTACATCAGTGTAGAGAACAGGAAGAAGACAAGCAAAAACTGGCAAGCAGTTAGGAATAGCATTACATCTCCCGAATTTTTCCTTTTTATCACACATGACTGATTTCTGCTACAGAATATTCTTTAAGAATACCACAAGTCCACCCTCCATCACAGAAGTGAAAGAGAAATACCAGAAGAGGAAAGGAACGGAAAAGTGACTTTAGGGAAAGATAGGAGCATGTGTTAACTTTTTCAGCTAGAGGCTAGAAGAGTACATTTGCAAGGAGTATGGGGAGGAGAAATTAAAAAAAGGAGTATCAAAAGTTAAAGGGAATTGATACTGGGGACTCTGGGTGGAAAGAAGACAAAAAGAAGCAAGTAACGAGGATATTCTTATGCAGTGCAGAAAACCCAAAAGAAAACATAGAATGAAAGAGTGAATAGGGAAGCCATGTGCAAGAAAAAAATGTTTAAAAAGTTAGAAGAAAACACATACTTTAAGAAAGAGCTACAAGTGATGGTATGATAGCATGGACTGAAAAAAAAAAGAAATATGAGTCTTTAGAGTTTGTTTTTTCTTTCAAAGACTATCTGAAGCTGATGGTAGGTTTAGGTCTACATTTGTTTCAAGCTATAAGCAAAGTCAGCAAGGGAAAAGGAATTGAATTTCACACTTTAGAAAAACAATGATGAGGCATAAGGAGAGAAAGATTAGTTTGGCCTCATGTTTTAGGGGTTCTTAATCTGCTACAGTAAACTTCCACTGAACATTTATTTTCTTTAACAGTGTTTAAAATCCACTGCAAATTATTTCTACTCAGCACGTTTTCTGATTGCAATTATCTCTTTATTCTTATCTTTCACTCCAAGTCTTAATGGCAGTTGTGATTAGGAGTCTGTTGCTTATTGATTACGTTGATATGTGCATAGCAAGTTATTTATGTACTTAATTTAAATTAATTTTATTTGTAAGGTTGAAGCAGATGTTGTGGAGATGTGATTTCCCACCGACTGTTCAATGAAGTGTCACTTACATGAAGTTTTTTTCTTTTCCAGAAGCTTTCATTTTCTTTGCTTATATGTTTCTAACAGGGACTGCATGAGAAAATGACTTTCATAACCAACACAATTACTCATTATGAGATTTATCTCATAATTCATTCTCTCCCTGCAGATATATACTGTACTATGTTACTGTGCTCATTGAAAATCTTTCTGGCTCAGTCTGTATGTATACACTTTACATGCATTCAGATACTGACTCTGAGCCGTAAATCACAGTTGCCTTGGATGCTACGTGTGTGTGTGCAAATGAAAATAATGTGTATCAGCTACTAATTTATAGGACTAAGATATAAGTATTCCTAAAATCATGCTAGAAGGCAGCACGGAAGACAAACATCCTCTATGTAGACCTCTAAAGGTCATCTATATAGAGGTTTTTCTTTCATATTGTGTAGTCAGCACTTTGTTTGATGTGCTGATGTGTAAAGGAGAGTGAAATAATTCCGTAACTGACAGTCAAAACAAAGCAATGTGATGCACGGACAAAGCGTTTGTGAGGCCTATAGACCTTTGCAGTTCTTTGAGTCTGTATTGCTGGTACTCTTTTGACCTGTCTCATAGATCAAGTGTCTTTTTCTGGTCTATGGAAAAGTCTTATTTAACTCTGCAAACTCTGTTTTTTTATCTAGAATCCTGGCACTGTGACACCATTAAGGTTCTTACATTCTCTCTTTGCTCTTAGGTCTTCCTGCTTAAAACTGACAAACCTAATAAAGATGCTAAATCTACTGTTAAATTAAAATGGCCTAGAAATGGCACAATGGTTAAATCCCCCCACCCCACTCCCTCACTCTCCCAGGATGTTATTATTAAGTATTAATAATTAACTTTTAATTAACTTTTAATTTACTGCTCTGTATTTCGCAATGAAATTTCTACAGAATAATTCTTTTTTCCATGGTCTACATGGTCTAACTCATGGATGTGTCTTTATTAAATTTTTTTTAATATGTATGCGTCTATATGATATCTGTATTATATTCTTTAAACAACAATATGTTTTAGGAGACATTTTCCTTGGAAGGTGGAATTACAAGTTTTGGATCATATGTGCTGTATTTACTGTACTAAAGCAGACCTTGGCCCTTACATTTTTTATCAGTACTAGCCAAATACTTTGTTTTAAAGCAGTTTTAGCTCCTTGTTTAATTTTATATTGCACTGCATATATTAAAAAGCCGTAAACCACTTTCTCCATTGTTGTGTAATGGGAAATAAATCAGGGACTGAGTATCTTGTTGGTTTAGATGATGTTAATCAGTTTCCTGTATAGGAAACATGTGATCACTAATTTGAGGTCATAATGAGTCTTGTTGTAGGCAACTCAATTTCCATCAATAAAGAGAGGCTTTCATTTCTGGTGCTACTATTTCAGGTTCAGAAAAGTTATTTTTATTATCTTTTTTAATACAAATGCTGTCATTGTTAAAATTATAAAGTGGAAATTAAATAATGTAAACTTCTTAAGGGGACTGATATGAATACATAGTTCTGAACATTATGTTTAAAATTCTTATGATCATCATATTTGCTTGAAATTTGGAAAGTTTGATTTCTTACACATAAGTTGAACTCAGACGTAGTTTGATCTGAAAAAAAAGAAAACATCAAGAAGCATTAAAATAAGCCCACTTTATGAAAGATAAGAAACATGAGGGGAATGTCAGCTTTTGGGGGTAGAAAAAGTAGGCTTTCCTTGGTTTTCAAGATCTTCACCTTTTTCCCGTCTGTACTCACCCAAGACCCATTGCAGAGTGGTTTTCATCTGTGACTAGGACTTGTCTAGGCCAAGGAAACATATAAGCTTCATAGACATGATGTTTTGTTGTTACCCTTTTTGCAGGGAGGACATTCTTTTTTTCCATTTAAGATATGGGCAACTCAAGACATTTACATTATACAGTAATATTTTCAAGCATATTACAAAATGGAAAACAAAGCAGTTTGGCTGCTGAAACATTCACAAGCTTTCAAAAAGGAAGGCCACTCACTGCTAACCTAAAACGTCTGGGTAATTAGCTAGCAATATATGTTTAATGTCAGCATGTTACTTGCTGAACTTTGTGAATGTTTTTCAATACATGAAGAAGGAAATCCTTAACTGCTTAGTTGCTTTTATGCCTATGTTTACACTATCAGAAAGCACATATACTAGGTCTAAAAGAATATTCTGTTTATATATATGTGTGTGTATATATATGTATTCAGTGACTAATTGTGCAGACTTTTTTTTTTTTACATTGCAGGTTCTGTTGGTCTGCAAGTAAGCTGGGCAATACAAGGTATTATTTTGCTATGACAGTTGCATTGATTATAAATGTTAAATGAACCTCCATTCGTTTAGGGGGTCTTAATGGGGGGTGAGCAGGAAGTTACTTGGTTTATTGCAGTGTAATATTCAAGATTTTGGAAAAGCATATGTTCCTAATAGGCTTGATTGTGACAGGTCATGTTATTATTTTAGGGCTAATCTACATAATTAAAAAATTAGTAGCATTTAAGCTGAATCACATTCTTGGTAGTCTGTAATCTAACTTCATTCACCCTGGACATTCTACAAGCAGAGAGTTCCAAATATAAGGAGAAGGGAACTTGTGCCTCTGGGTTTTTCCGTCACCCATTGTAAACTACACTGGACTGGTAGGTCCTGGAGAAGATGAAATGTTGGAGTTGAGAAAGGGGAGGTTATCAGGGATCTGGAACTTTTAAAAATGTAATAGAGAGATAGTAACCCTCTAGCTTTGAATTTTGACAGCTGGACCTCTTTTCTTCAAGTATGGAAGAGGAAAATTTTTATGTGTGTATGGTGTCCTATCTCCTTAACTCTGTAATGCCTCGAAGAATATCTTGAAACACAAATAACTCCAGTCAGCCACAAAACATACAACTATTGTGTTGGGAAGTAAAAAAGGCGTCTGAAAGCTGATGCTTTGCTACTTAACAGGATCTTGGTGACTGTCTTAAAAAGGTTTATACAAAGCTGTGCACAGCAATTGTACTTATCTTTGTACTGCTAGAGAATTCTTAGGTGATGTGCTGCCATGTTTCCATTTATTCTAATACTGTAATTACTGTAGAATTTGGATTATCTGTGATAACTATGTGTGTGCAAAGCTTGCTTCAACAGTTTTAACAATGGGATTCACTAGAGTCTACCCTTCACAGGTTTCCCTGCCAGAAACGATACTGTTTTATGGAACGTCTAATACTAATATCACTAGAACTGCCTTGTAAAAATGGAGAAATAACTTTCTGAGAGAATGCGAAGGGAAAAGGCAGAGTTTCTTAGTATTGATGTAATACCTATTTTAACTGGATATCAAGGCAGGTTTCTAAATTTTTGTAACAGCATATTTAATTTTATCTTTTAGTCTTCCACACCTTTGTGAAGCAGGGTGATTTATCATGGCAAAGTGGAAATGTTTTGAACATGAAATATGGCAGAAAAGTGAGTTGTTGACAGACTGATTTGTTTCAACCTGTTGAAATATTTCCCCATTGGTTTCTAGCTAACAACTATGCAAATAGAAATTAATATTCAAATAACTAGCCTAATAATTGTTATTAACACACAATGCCCTCCTAGATATTTATTGCTGCAGTACAGCTTCTGGTTTGTATGAATCAGTTTTCATTGTAGTTTATTAGCAACCAACGATGATTATTTCCCTCTAATGTTTACAAACTATAATTCATCATCCTCTTATCTTTTATTTATGAGACAATGTCAAATGAAAGAAGCAAATTATGCATTGTTTTTGGTTGGAGGAGTTCTGCACTCTACAGCATATTAACTTTGCCATAAAGCAGCAGCGTTCAATGTTCTGCTCTGACTACTATGTACATCCAATCTGCCCTCATCTCACACCAGAGGAGAAAGTAGACTCTTCAGTGGTGTCTCACACTCTGGCAACTGTGTATTTAAAAAGACTTTTAGAAAAACCCTGACCCGTTAAAGTCAATGGGAGATTTGCCATTTACTTCAGTGAAGCCGAGATTTTATCCCTTCTGTTCGCTGTGTTGTTACATTGGTTTACACCTGTGCTAAACAAATAAGAAGCAGAAGGGAATGGATTCCTTCTGTTCATCCTTCTCTCATGGGAAACAAGTTTCAGCACATTGAAAATATTTGAATATTCTGGAAGGGAACGGTTTAAATCCTGCTGCTTCTATTTTTATAACTGTCATCTTAAAGGAAAATATTTTAAGAAAGGAAAAATTATACTAGGCTGTTATCTCTGATGTCATTACATCTGTTACTAAGGAATAGTTGTAACTGTTAGGAAAGCTGGTCATTTTCCTTCTGGGTTTTTTAAATTACTACAATGGCAGTTACATTTAATTGTCAGATACATACTATGCTAGTATGAAGATGCCATGCATTGACAAGCAGTTGCAAAACAAAAACAGTAAACGGAGTGAAGGAAAGCTTAGGTGAGCATATATATGTTTATAACATATCAAAACAATTTTTACAAATAAAAGCTACTAATTCCTGGTTATTAGTGGCTTCAGAATGACAATACTAGAGTAAAGGGCTTTGTATTTATTACTGTGTAACAGAATATTAGTTATTTTATTCTAATTGACACTCACATAGAAGACTTCCATTTCATATTTGAAATTCATTGGAGGCTTCTAAGAGTTCTTTTGAAATTTTCCTTATAGTTCACGTGCTAAATCCATATTATGAAGTCATCAGTAAACTTTAGTATGACAATCTGTTGCAAGACTAACATGCATTTCTCTACATTAAACCAGGTTCTTAACCCCTAAAGATTTGCAACAAAGCAAGATCAGAGAATATCATTTTGATTTGACTGTACAGTCAATTTAATAAAGAGTTACTAGTTAATATAGACTGGATAAGGTTGGTTAAATTACCCAAATTAGTCCTCACCCTTCCCTTCCCTTCCCTTCCCTTCCCTTCCCTTCCTTTCCCTTCCCTTCAAAAAAAATGCATATTTTAATATCATTATTAATTATAATATTAATATTTATGTAGTTCAGATTAAGTTAGTTATGAAGATCAAAAATTTAATATAGGAAATATATGCTAAAATGAGCAATTTAACAGTATATGGGGTCAGAATTTTAATATATACGGTTCCACCATAATATATTCCACCATAATGTATTATGGTGGAATAGCTGATTTGATAGATCTCATCAGTAGACTCAGACATAATTAATATTTTCATTTTTCCCGTATTATTTCTTTTCAAAAACTGTAAGTGTATCTTAATAGTTGCATGAATGTTGGGAAAAAAATTAAATGACAACACCATAACACTTTTTCACACTACTTGTGTTCTGTAGAATGCCTCATTCTAGGACTCACCTTAATTATACAGGGCAAAGAAGGGAGATGTGAGGTTTCTGATTCAAAGCATTATGCATACGTATGTATGATTCATTGTCTAAATAGTATGTGAAACTAAGTGTGCATTGCTTTTGCAGTTCCAATAGTTTTCGCTTGTGTTCTCACAATACAGTATTTGTTTACTCTTGTGAATACTTCTTCCTGAATCACACATTCTTGGCTCCAACTAGACCTCAGACACTGCAGTGTTGTTAGACCTAAACTGGGTCATGCAATACAGTAGATTCAATTAAGATTTTCTGAAATTTAAAGCACACAGTCTGAGAGCCAGGAACCTTATGGACTAAGACCGTCTTGGTCTTCAGTTTAATGATCTGTCCCTAAATGATTTAAACTTCTTGATCCTATATCTTTCATGTTCCTTCTGAATCCTCTCCCGCCTCTTTGCCACCTCGTCTTCAACCAGAAGGCACTGTTTCTTTGGAAGAACACTGTAAAAACTTTTGCCTACGTTGACTGGATCAGCCACACTTCAAGTAAAACACAAATGCCACAGGGCATCATGGAGAGGCTGAGTGACCTCTAGTTTACTAAATAAATAGATTTTCTGGAGTTGTGCCCTGACAAGAGAGAGGGCTAGGCTTGCCAGTCAGCAGGCATGGTAAGTAACTCTAGGTTGTATTTATAGTGTCACAGAGGCCCCTCGCTTGTCATATAGAATTATTAGTGACAGTGGTGAAATGATTAAAAGCACACCTGTTATCATAGTATCAATAAAAATTAAAATGGCCTGTCTCATCTGACTTTCTCTGCTGTCATGTACTGTGCACCATTTCCATGGTAATGAAGCTTTTATGCTGCTTATGTTAGCTTCAGATAATGTATTCCCCTCAGGTATATGTTTTTTATCATCATCCATTTCACTGTATGAATGCTGACGTTGTAGGTGACTGCAGATGTGCCATAATTGTTGGTTTCTGCAAATAGTGTCACCCTTCCGCCTCTCCCTACACAGGTGTTTATAGCTCTGTCACAAGGTCATTGAATGTTGCACATGCTAGTATATTCAAAATTTCTTTGGAAACACTTGGTAGATTAATTGATACAGGAAGGGGATAATATGAAATGTTTATCTAATATAACACTTTCATTCTTAAACCTCAATTCCATATAACTAATACATTTTTAAGGACCATACAATTTAAGTATTCTTCTTCAGATTTTTTTTTGTAAGAAGAGACAATATAAATTTAAAATATCTAATACTTCATGATGCATACTTTATTTTTTAAAATATGTTGATAAAATTATATTTCTCCTTAGTTTATCCAACACTTTATTGCTTACCCTTGAGTCTTCAAACCAGTTAAAACCATCACAGTGTTTGATGCTGAAAAGGTAAGCAAAGAAAAAATTTCTCCGTATGTGGAAACACATAGTCTTGTAGTACAACTAAATGAGATATGTTTAATAAGGTTCTCATATAATAAATCCATATTTCTTTGAGGGCAGCCTCTGTAGATGTGCTATAAAGGTTAGGAAAAAGAGTCAAATTCATATATGAGAGTCAATTTTAATAGTTCACCTCTCGGCATTGTGCCTATCTGCTCAACTTGCAAAGCTCTTTCTTCTAGGGGCAATTCACCTGCTAGATAAAAAGATGTTAGTTACTTTAATGTTTTGCTTGGAGATTTTTATTTTATTTTTTCAACAAAGATACAGCTGTAAAAGTGATAATATATAAAATAAATATATAAATAAATATATATAATATAAAATAAAGATTCCTGGCCAAAATATGTTTCATTATCGTTAAATTTACCTTAAAATTTTTTTTCCATTAACTTTTCTTCTTCTCTTTACAAATGTGAAGTATCTTTATAAGAAAATGTTATAGCCTCCAAATATCACACTGTTATATAATTGTAAATTCCATCTTACTGTAAATGAACCTTATTT